AGACTAAATGTTTTACGACTATAAAGGAGACTATTAGCACGAGGTATTAATAATTGTATGCGCTCTAAAATTATTGGTGAGTTAATATAACCATTAAACAATTTATACAAAAAAATTATATCAAACATATTCCTACGCATTTGCAACGGAACCGATTTTAGGCGATCATTGTAGGAATGAATTATATGGCATTTGTTCTCGGCAGGACATACAAAAAACGTTTTTGAACACGCTCTATTCGCTCAGAGTGGATGGTATAAATAGGATTCCAAACAACACTGCAGTACTCCAAATAATACATAAACAGAATAAACTCGACAAATTTCATAAAAATAGTTTTATTCAATGTGTAGTATACGCGTGAAAATAATCAATATCTTTGAAAATATTTTTATTACAAAGATATGCAGATTTCCTCATGATGTTACCGTTACGCTTAGCACGAAGTAAATCAGCACTTAAAATTGCAACTAACAATTTAATCGGTAACGGTTGGGATCGAATCCAGGTTACTTGCACACTAAGCACCTAAAGGTACCACTACTCTTACAAATAAGTACTTAATAATACAATTCTTTAAGTATACACTTTCCGTAAGTTCTATGTCTTAAGTATGTATGAGCAACGCATTCAGAGTTCCTAGCAAACCCGAAAGCGTTATGTGATTTCCTTTTTGAGCAATATTATGAAAACCATATTGAAATAAGCAGTTTAAAATATGACGTAATCCTAGGGTTTAGTTCAATTAACATCATTCATACAGAAAAGTTCAGAATATAAACACAGTAAACTAGACCATAATTACCACAATATAAAATTTCAAAAAGTCACAATGTAAAATAAAAAATGTAAAGAAGTAAAAACTTTGCGCTCTATATAAATAGTGCTTCAAGCGTTGCATTATTGAGACCCTCAATGTTTGGAGACGCTTTAATATCCTTTATCTTGATTCAATTCTGTTTGCGTTAGCCAAGTTTCAATCCATTTCATTTTAAAATTTAAATATTTTTAAATTTTTCTTCCCCTAAAAATTTATATAATAAAATCAACTTCTTCAGAATTTGTTGGAAATGAATTGAATTAATTTTCTTTATTTTCTCTATTTATAAAGTTTACAGTTAAAATATAATGATAATACAATAAGAATAGTTACATTAAAATAGATTTGAGTGGACTTAAGAAAATCACTAAGTCAAGCTAACAACTAGAATGATGTCTAAATAGTTACACTAAAAACTTCATCACTATTTTTTTACCCTTAGTGATTGACTTTTTTTCCTTTGGTAAGAAATGCAGGTAGTCGATGAATACCACCTGCATTGTTGTATCTCTATGCTCTGACTGTTTTGTTGTATTTCTTGGCGGATAGCCTATGTTCAGCAGTGAACCTAATGAAAGGCTTGTAGATACTTACGATGACGATATTTTTTTACTATTCTAAGCCAGTACATGACTACTATCCCACCTGATGATAAGTTGTGATGCAACCGAATATGGTAAAGCGCACTAACTTAGCTTAACAAAAACCTATTTACTCATACCTTGAAGACACCTACATTGTAATCAAATGGAAAGATAGATGGTATTAACTTTTCTCCTCCTTTGCATAACGAACGACGAAAAAATCAGTTTAAGGCTATTTTTAATAAACATGAGAATAAAACAACACCTTAATGGAATGCCTGGTGATTTCAGAAAATCTCTCAAGGAAACAGTTTAAGAACGCTGCGCTAGAAAAAAACTAGCTGTTAGAAAAAAACTACTTTGCTGATATGGTTAAGACAAACAAAAATAATTACTTCCGCCCCAAAACTTTCAGTTCCATTGCAACTTATTAACTAAACTAACTAACTAATTAACCGAGAATAAATCAAAAACTAGTAAAGATACTAAGTCTCTAGTCAAAAAAATATATGCCCCGAACTTTTGAAATTTCACGTAAGAGCAATACGTAAAACTAAAAATTGATGCGTTATTATCAGCACTGAAATAAAGTATGACGCTGAGAAGCTACAAAATTCTACTAAGCTAAGTAGTTCCGATCTGAAGGTGGTAGAGCCCTATAAAAGAATACCAAGGATCTTCTTTTATAGTGTCTTTTAGGTATACCTGCCGTCCTTAGGGAACGAGAGCTCTTTGAATACATTTTTGAACAAAATTTAGCCGAAAAGCTCCCTAATTTAACGCGGGAATCTTTTTTAACGAACGAAATCTCCTTAAAATTAAGTCATAAATCGGTTAAAAAAGAAGCAATTTCATGCAATTTTATTTTCGAAGTACCAGCTAGCATTAGAAAGGCGCTTATCAACCAGGAGCGAATCTTCTTATTTGGACGACTGTCGGAAAACCATCGACACGTGTGGACACTGTGGTGAATTAGGACATCAGTCAAATGCTTGCATTAAGAAAGCTGATCCAGCGAAATGCGCAACATGCCTGCGTTACAAAAAACCGAGCAACCACAAAACAGGTAACTCTAAATGCCCGCCTAAGGAAACAACTAAGTACATTGCCTCAGAGAGCCACCGTTCATCTTAATTTTTTTTGCCCTAACTTATAAGTATAGTTTATATTTTTATAGTTTTATTTCTGTTTTTAAGTAGACCCGTTAAGTAACCGTTAAGTGACAAAACTGCTACGTCGGTGCAGTCGTAAACACACACACACAGACTCACACGCGTGCGTGCGTTTGCGTCTGCGTCTGTGTGTGTGTGTGTGTGTGTGTGTGTGTGTGTGTGTGTGTGTGTGTGTGTGTGAGAGAGTATGCGTGTGTGTGTGTGTGTGTGTGTGTGTGTGTGTGTGTGTGTGTGCGTGCGTACGTGCGTATTAATTAATTCGTTTACACGAATTAATTATCCAACGAGTCGAGGATAAACTAGTGACTGAATACGACACACGCACCGTTCCACGTCAGAGCCAAGACTGTCTTAACGGCGGCCGCTCCGTCCGTTTTATACAAGCAGGACGGGTGGCAATGCTGGTGCAATGCCGCAGGTGTGAGGTACACGTGTCGTTTACAAGAATTCTGTCTAGCTAGACCGACGCCACCGCATCTACAACGGTGCAGGTGCCGTCATACATAACTGATTTCTCGCAAACAGGGCCTACGTTTTGAATGAAATTCGGTACTTACTTTTTACGTGTAAACACATCTAATCATAAAATTACACGTTTTTCCAATTCCTAGCAAAGTTTGGTCACCCAGGAACTATAATATAACTATATATACATCATACAGCTTGCAAAGATGAACAGAAGAATAAAGAATGAAAAAGTATGTTGTGCTGTCGCGATGACTCTTTGCTTGACCGCACATTGACCCCGAGCGATTTATGTTTGTAGTTCAGCTATCCGTTGTGCTACAGCGCCGCGGTCTCAGTGCGAGACGCGAGGGTGATATCGCAAAATTTCTGGCTCAATACTCAACAAATGAAATACATAATAATTTTATTGTATAAACTTTATTATGAATAAGCAAAACTCAGCAAACACAGATCCACCTAGGACATAAGTTAGCTGACTCACCCTCGCACGGTTCATCGGCCATGAGGATCCAAATGTAAATACACAAGTAGGCAAATAAATAATTTCTGATTCTGATTCTGATTCACATAGACAGGCGTAAGGACATAGCAAAATATCCTAAGTATGTGTGTGTTTATGTGCGTGTGTGTTTAAGAACTATTGCTCAATTATAGCTTCTAACTCGTCATAATCAAGGCTTAGTAGCCACTCATTCAGCAGTTGTTTAGATTTATTTAAAGGAAAAGGTTAGATGTTTAATTTTTTATTAAATTTATTGTAAAGTACCAGAGCAATAAAGTTATAATGTTGTTTTACCACTACAAGCCCACATCTCAACGTAGAGCATACTTTGTCTTTTTTTCTTATATTCTGTAATATTTTAGGATCATATGGAAAGATTATTGTTAGCGGAGAACCCTATTTAATATAAATAATTTACCATCGAAAAAAAAACTCCCCAATATTTAAATATATATTTAGTTGAATACCTAATTGCTTGGAAGCCTTTTGTACTCATTCGAGCTGCATAATGTTAGTTTTTCCGGCTGCACCCCAAATCTTAATGCAGTAAGTTATAATGGATTGAGCTGGGGCGGAATACGCAGTCCTAAGAATCGCCATGTCAGTGCCAACACGTACCTTGCTAAAGACAAATATAAGTTTCTTAATACGTGACGTCATACATTTAATGTTTTCACTCCATGACAGCACATTGTCAACCACAACACCTTACTTAATGCTGTGCATGCGCAATATTGAAACACGGGTAAAAAAATTTGCGTATTAAATTTGTGAGCATATTATATTATGAACGATCCATCTGGTTGTGACAAAAGCCTAGGAGTAAATGTAATAAACTTCGTTTTGCTAAGGTTTAATATCAGCTTTTTTCGAGACAGCCATGTTATAACATAGCTATCATAAGTGAGTGCAACGCGGACTCGGCATATGATCGTGTCTCCTCCCAACTCTTTCCATAAACAATGATCGCCGTGTCGTCAGCATATGTAACTATTTTGTAGTTTTAATTGACACAGATCATTTATATATATATATAAGGAATATTATTGAGGATTTTCAAAATAAACCACAAATTGTTTCTCTGAAAATACAAAGTTTTGTTTTATTTAACACGCCTTTACAATATTACAACAATTATCATGACAATTACACTTCTATCTCACCTGAAAATACAAAGAAACGACATTTAAAGTTTACTAATATCGCTTCCTCAATCGTATCCTTCAGTTTATCTCTCTACAAGTTTACATAACAATAAAGTGCACAAAATAATCTAAACGTCATCCGCCATTAAATCATAGTTCACACGTCACTTCGATGAGCCCTCTACCATTTTCCACAGACAACACAGATACGCGAAGCGCAACAAATTCAAATTAATGAAATGTCATTCATTTCATTACATCTCCCCCCCTAAGAGCGAAAATTCTAAGCAATATATCTATAAAATGTACCTATAAGTTATCTTCATATTCGTTTTCTTCTCCTTCATCTTCTTCTTTTACGACAGGTTGTAATTTTGTTATATGAAATAATGTTGATTCTGTTTTTCTGTTGCCTGTATCAAGCCTATAAATGGAATTCGATATTTTCTCTATTATCTTGAAAGGACCTATTTTTAATTCGTCTAATTTCTTTCTATTCAGTCTATTTCCATTTTCTACATATACACTGTCTCCTACATTAAACTCTTGCATTTTTCTATTTCTATCAAATATTTTCTTGTTGTACTCATGGGATTTTATTGTATTCTCTAATGCCAATCTTCTATCAGCGATCCACTTGTCTTCCTTTTCTATTGTTTTAAATTCATTTGGTAGAATACTGACATTTGTACCATCCAGTAAATATTTTGGTGCAAAACCTGTAACGGAGTGTTCTGTTTCATTATATTTCTGTATACATTCTCTTGCTAGTGTTGCCCATGTTCTCTTATTATTTTTCTCATTTATTTTACACCTTATTTTATTTACTATTGTTTGATTTAGTCTTTCATTCAAGCCGTTCGAGAATGGTGTATTCACAGCTGTAAAAATTAGTTTAATATTATTCTCCTGCAAATATTGTTTAAATTCTCTTGAATTAATGCCCGGATATTGATCTGTCAGGATAATTCCAATCTCATCTGTCTCTAGTACTTTCTTTGTTAGATTTATAAAGTCACTTGCATTCTGAGTTTTTGAAGTCGCAATAAATGCATATCTTGTGTAGTGGTCTACTAAAAGATGTAGGTATTTCTTTGTAGATCTAGATCCTCCAAAACCACCAATAGTATCCATTGACATTATCTCAAATGGTTTTGTAGCTGGCCCCAGTTGTGACATTAATCCAATTTTTTTTTGACATCTTGATTTATTTTTTATGCATATTTCACATGTTTTACAAGTATTTATAATATTTTTTGTTAGGTTTATAGCTGTATATATAGGACTTATTTTCTTCTGCAATTGTCTGATCCCAATATGGCAAAAATTTTCATGTACCTTTTTTATAAGTTTTTTACTAAATTCTTCTGAGAGGATAATCTTTTCCTGTTTCTTTATTTTTTTATAATAGATTTTATTTTTGTATATTAAATTTTGTTTCTTTTCTTTTATTGTTTCATTTTTCTCCTGGTCTTCAACTATATCTTTTATTTGTATTACATTAACTATTCTCAAAAGTTCCTCTCTGTTATCTTCTGATTCTAGTACAGGATTTCGGCTTAAACAGTCTGCTTCTACATTTTCTTTACCAGGTATATATTTTACTGTAAAGTCATACTGAGATAGGTAATATGTGAGATCACCCAATTCTTCATCTGTCCTGCATTTAATGTTCATGTTCTCTAGAGGTTTGTGGTCTGAGTAAATAGTGAATTGTTTTCCAATGAGCCAGTGCTGCCAATATTTAATGGCTTCTTTCATAGCAAGACATTCTAAATATATAGCTTTTTTCCGTTTTTGATGTTCGTTCAGTTTTTTTGAGAAATATGCCACCGGTTTGTCTTTACCATCTAGTTGTGTTTGTTTTAATATTGCTCCAATGCCCTCCAAAGATGCATCGGTATAGATTTTGATTGGTAAGTCTTTGTCGAATATTTCCAAGACCGGTTGAGAACATAAATATCTTTTTATCTGATTAAATGATTCTTCACACTTCTCTGACCATACAAACTTCTCGTTTTTTCTTAATAAATTATGTAATGGATCTAGGATAATTGCACTTCTTGGTATGTATTCATGGTAGAAGTTTATTTTTCCCAAAAATTGTCTGATGTTCTTTTGCGTCTTAGGAGTTGGAAAATCCCTTATTGAAATCAAATTGTCTTTTAGTGGTCTTACTGAATTGTTCTGAATTATATGGCCGAGGTATTTTACCGAGTCTGAAGCAAAGGTACATTTCTTAAACTTCAATCTAAAGCCTTCTTTAATTATTGCCTCTAATACATTTCTTATGTGCCTTATATGTTCTTCAAAGGTAGACGAGTATATCAAAATATCGTCAATATAGTTTACAGAGTATCCTGTGAGATTGTGCTTTCTTAGAATATTGCTTAGAATTCTCTGGAAAATTGCTGGTGATGTTTTCAAGCCAAAAGGGAGGCAGGTCCACTGGAAGTGGCCATCTTGTGTGACAAATCCTGTTTTACTTCTGTCTTCCACCCGTAATGGTATTGCCCAAAATGCTGAGTTTATATCCAGTGTAGTAAAATACTTGCAATTTCTAGTTTTAATAATTAGATCATCTATCAAAGGAAAAGGTTGAGCTTGTGGTACAACAATTTTGTTCAATTCTCTGAAATCTACACATAAACGGGATTTTCTATTTTCACCTTTTTTAAATGCCAATGTCACTGGAGCAGCGAAAGGACTGTAAGATTCTTCTATTAAATTATTCTTTAATAACATGGATATTTGCTCTTCAATTTCTAATTTATCTTGTATTGTACATCTGTATGGTCTTTTACTACAATATTTATTTACTAGTAAATCTATGTGAGCTTCATAATTCCTAACTGATCCTATATCATACTTGTCCTTAGCAAAAATTGTTCTATATTCCTTTATAATTTTCTCTATCTCAATTTTTTTTTCATTATCTAAATGGTCTGTCATACTTATAAATTCCTTTGTTTCTATGTGTTCATTGAAATTTACTGTATATGTTTTTATATTCTTATCTTCATTTCTGTTATCTTTAGACATTCTGTCTATATTATTTGTTATTTTCTTTTGTTCTATCTGCAAGTTCTCATTTTGAGTTAATCTGAATTTCTTTATCATATCCAATCCGATTATGAAGTCTTCAAAATCTTCATTTTCTACTATGTACACATCCACCTCTTCTTCCAAATCAAATATTTTTATTTTTATTGTTATCAAGCCATCCGTCTTCTTCACACCATTAACCGTTTTCATGTATGCTATATTCACATCATCTTTTTTTTCTTTTACTTTTATCAATCTTGAATTTATTAAAGAGATCTGTGAGCCTGAATCATAAATGCCGCTCACTTCTAGTTTATTTTCTAATAAAAGCTTGATTTTGATTAATGGTGTACTTACTAGTTTTTTTTACCAGCATTTATGTCTACTTCAATGATGGAATTATTATTTACATCTTTAGTTTTAAGAACCTTTTCAGGTTCATTTTTATTTTTCTTGAACCAACATGACTCTTCCGGATGATATCTAATTCCTTTGTCCAAAGATTCACAAGTCTTACATGGCTTCTTCTCATTATTTTTATTTTTATTATAAAATATACCACTCTTTATGTTAGTTGAGTTTTTCTTGTACATCATACCTTCATATTTTCTTATCTCGTTGAACAAATCAGTAGTGTTGTTGAGTTCGTCCCTGTTTAACTTATTTAAGATAAATCCAGGTAAACCAGTTGCAATAAGATCTATCATTGTTTTGGAATCTATAGATTTGTTTATATCTAATATAAGCCGTTCTTTTTTTATGGCATAATCAATTAACAGTCCTTCTTTATACCTAAATGCGAGAGCATATGTGACTATGTCCCATCCTTGGTTTTTAAAAGTTTCTAAAAATTTGTCTTTCCATTCACTCCATTCAGAATTAACTGTTAGTTTTATGATCATTGAGCTATACCAATCCAAACAAGGTTTATCTAAGAATAACCTCAATATATCTATTTTTGTTTCATCTTTTGTTATATTGAAGCGCGCACACTCTTTTTCAAAAATCTCTATCCATTGCATCGCATTAGGATTCTTGCTTGTGAATCTTTCAATAATAAATTTTTCTGAAATATGTTTTAAGTTATGTTGACTTTCTTTCTTAGTTGTAGTTTCTATTAATTGTTCCAAGATATGTTGCAAACTGTCATCTTTGTCTCTTGCTTGTTTTGTGCTCATTTCCTCTAAATATTGATCCAAAAATTGCATATTACCTTCCTCATCTACATATGTCTTCTTTAGATTTTCATCCAATTTTATCCATACTTTTCTACTTTGGTGTCTTTTCTTTATGCTATTTTTCACTTTTGTGAAAGTGTTCATTTTAACAATATATGTATGATGACTCACCGGCTTCAGCTCCTCGGGTAAAACATAACATTTTCCTTCTTCTGTAAATATTGAGGTTATGGCTAGTACATTCGATTTGCCATCATTTGAGGCTATCATCGTAAACTCAAATTGCAGCCGGTCCATCTTCTCTTAGTTAACAAAAATGTCGTTTTATAAGGAATATTATTGAGGATTTTCAAAATAAACCACAAATTGTTTCTCTGAAAATACAAAGTTTTGTTTTATTTAACACGCCTTTACAATATTACAACAATTATCATGACAATTACACTTCTATCTCACCTGGAAATACAAAGAAACGACATTTAAAGTTTACTAATATCGCTTCCTCAATCGTATCCTTCAGTTTATCTCTCTACAAGTTTACATAACAATAAAGTGCACAAAATAATCTAAACGTCATCCGCCATTAAATCATAGTTCACACGTCACTTCGATGAGCCCTCTACCATTTTCCACAGACAACACAGATACGCGAAGCGCAACAAATTCAAATTAATGAAATGTCATTCATTTCATTACATATATATATATATATATATATATATATATATATATATATATATACATATATATATATATCATCATTACAGCCCTTCACAAGTCCACTGCTGAACATAGGCCTCCCCCAAAGAATGCCACATAGCACGGTCCTGAGCCACCTGCATCCATCGACTTCCTGCATGTCTTACCAGGTCGTCACTCCATCTGGGACGCCCTACACTTCGCCTACCGGTACGAGGCTGCCACTCGAGAACCTTTCTTCCCCATCCGTTGTCGGTTCTTCGAGCTATATGGCCGGCCCACTGCCACTTCAGCTTAGTAATCCGTTGGGCTATGTCGGTTACTCTGGTTCTACTGCGGATATCCTCATTCCTAAGTTTATCACGCAGAGAAACTCCAAGCATAGCCCTCTACATAGCTCGCTGAGCGACCTTGAGCTTCCTTATACGGCCAGCTGTGAAGGACCACGTCTCAGTTCCGTAAGTCATCACTGGCAACACGCACTGGTTGTACAATTTCGTTTTAAGGTTTTGAGATATGTCAGACGAGAAAATGTTTCGTAGCTTCCTGAACGCTGCCCAGCCAAGTTGAATCCGTCTATTGACCTCTCGGTCGAAGTTGGACTTACCTAGTCGGACTATTTGTCCCAAGTAAACAGCTTTGAGCTTAGTGCTCCCAACAACTACCGGCATAGGTGTGACATGGACATTAAACATAATCTTTGTTTTGCCCATGTTCATCTTAAGACCTATCCGTTGGGAGACACTATTGAGGTCTTTGAGTATATTGCTTAGGTCCTCCAGCGATTCTGCCATGAGGACTATATCGTCGGCAAATCAAAGATGAATGATGTACTCGCCATTGATGTTGATATCGTATCCTTTCCAGCCCAGAACCTTGAAAACGTCTTCAAATGCAGCGGTGAAGAATTTCGGGGATATGACGTCACCCTGTCTTACACCTCTCTGCAATTAGATAGGTGTACTCGGATAGCCATCGTAGCTCTACTGTACAAACACTTCAACACTTCGATATACCGACAGTCAACTTGGCACCGCTGAAAGGACTGCAGCACCGCCCAAATTTCGACGGAATCAAAGGCTTTCTCATAGTCCACATACGCCAGACATAGTGGCAAATTGTACTCTTCGGACTTCTGTATAATTTGCCGAAAGGTATGTATGTGGTCTATGGTGCTAAAGCCCTTTCGGAAACAGGCTTTTTTGGGAGGCTGGAAGTCATCAAGTCTGCGCGCGAGACGATTCGATATGACTCTCGAAAACAGAACGTAGACGCGGCTCAGAAGGGAAATCGGTCTGTAGTTCTTCAAGAGAGCGTTGTGAACTTTCTTGAAGAACAAGACCACCGCACTTCTGCTCCACGCCTCTGGTGTAATGCAACCATGGAGGACGACATTAAAGAGCTTCTGAAGGACTTCAAGTACCGTTCTTCCACCCGCTTTCAGAAGCTCCGCTGTAATTCCATCCTCGCCTGGGGCCTTTTCGTTTTAAAGGTGCTGGAGAGCCATTCTAATCTCGCTCAGACTGACGTTCGGGATATCTTCGAAATAGTGTCGGATGAGACTTGCTCTTGGATCGTTAGTCACACTTGCGTGTGGCTCCAATGATGACGTGTACAGCTGCCCATAGAACCTCCCAATCTCACTCAAAATCTCAGGTCCGGAAAATCTCTCCCGGAAACGATGCTGCCACATTCTGTCTTCAGCTTTGACAGTTGGCTCTTTCTGGCAGACAGATCTCTGGCAAAGACTTTGAAGCCTTGGTTCCGCTCGATCGTTTCTTCAATACGAGCTGTATTGAAGTTGCGTAAGTCCCGCCGCATGCATTTGGAGATTTGTCTGTTCAGATGCCTGTATGCTGTCAAGTCTGTTGAAGAATGTAGCTTCATCCTCCGTCTAACAGACATAAGATTAAGAGTGTGATCGGAGAGTTTTTGTGTTCTTCTGCGGCGGGTCTTGCAGAACTTAGCTCCGACCGCATGGACAGTTTAAACGAGCTTGTCATTCATATCGTCCACTTCATTGCAGTCTTCTAGGCACTAAAAACGGTTTTGTAACTCGAGCTGAAATGTGTCGGGACTTTGAAACAGAGCACGAGGGGGACGGAGCGTTGACTTCATTAGACGAGACCTCTCCAACTTAACGTTTAGGTTCAGTTTGCCTCTAACCATTCGGTGATCGCTACCAGTTTTCACCCTCGCGATCACGGAGACATCACTGAACTGTTGCCTTCTGGTCGTCATAATTAAGGCAATCTCATTTTTGCCGAACCGTCGGGGCTCGACCAGGTCCACTTCCTGTGGGGCCGCTTCTGGAAGAAATAGCTCATCATAAAGACTCCCTCTTTTTCCATGAAGTCGGCCAGCTGTTGACCCCTTGGGTTCCGTTGCCCTATTCCAAATTTCCCCACTTTCAGCTCACCGTTCTCTCTTGTGCCTAGTTTTGAATTGAAGTCTCCCATTAACACCGTATATTGGGTTTTGGAGGAATGCATGGCTCTAGAGATATCCTCATACATTTCCTCCACCTCCTCATCGGGGTGTGCCGAGGTTGGTGCGTTAACCTGTATGACCTTCAGCGAATACCGTTTGGTGATTCTGAGTATAAGGTACGCAACCCTCGTCGACACACTCCCGATCTTTACAACGTTGTTAACAAGAGACTTGTGGACGATAAATCCGACACCTCCTTGGGACAGATGGTCGCCCTCCCGGTGATAGAGCAAGTTGCCGGATTCGAGGATTACCGTGTCCTCCCCCTTTCTTCGGACTCCGGATAATCCTATAATATGCCAGCGCAACTTGTCTATCTCTTCTTCCAGCTCCACAATCTTCTCGTCAGTCCTCAGGGTGCGTGCGTTGTACGTTGCCAGGTCGAGTCGTCTAAGGTGGCAACCGAACCTCCACCGGAGATTCGTAGCACCCCCTGCCCCACCGATACCATGGTCGCCACCGTAGCCAGGAATAGCGGGGCCGCCGGGGACTGGGGGCCGTCTGTTTGTTGCTTTAATCATTGGGGGGTATTTGCCATAGTTGCCACGCTTGGCGAGCGGGTTGGCAACCGCAGTTTTTTTTAATTGTAATTTTAGCTATTATCAGGAAGATGCTGCTGCCCATTTCCTGCCTGTTTCCCTTTGTCGCCTTTTACGACACCCACGGGAGGATATGGGGTAGTGGATATTCTTGACCGCCACTACACGGCACCTACATAATATTCCTAAATAATTTTATAAACATATCCTGTCTAACGTCCAAAATTAAGAACACTTAACTACTTAAAACTAGGTTAAATGTTCAGCAGTCGATGGTGTAAACGTGTTTCATGGTCTTTTTAAC